GTTTTTACAGCCTGATCAATCTAACAATGCCCCTCTCCCCAACCTATGTACCCCAATAAAAGGTATTCAGAAACAAAAAAATGTGTTGAAAGTTTTAAGTGGTCTATATATTGAATGTACTTATTCCTGTTTGCCCAAACCACTTATATGTCCCTAGTCTTTTACAACAAATACAGTAAAAAGTGCTTTAATCCAACAACTGTGAAATGTTTCTGTTTTTCTGTGAATTCCAACATTCATTTTCCATTTTCTTTAAACTTTGCAACCTGATGATCTGTCAATTTCAACATTTAAAATTTGTCATCCAGACCCATTGCATTTATGATAAGACAGATTTTACTGTAAATATACAATACTCAAGAGTGCACATCTCTTACCATTCATTTGCCTCTTATCTCCCAGTAGTGCATTGTTCATAAGTACCAAAACAAAAATAAGAGAATTCTGAAATTGAACGACGATTTGGCCCATGCCAATCACATTAATTTTTCAATAATCCAAATAAGTAGTAGACTTCTTCAGAACTTTTACTAAATATGTCTAATATGCTGTGGTGTATTTTGTGGACTGTAAAATGATTTGGATGACTTAGTAAACCAACCCAGCTGTGATAAAAGGTTTTTGAAATATTGAACTTAAAAACCAATTGGGCCCTTATCAATTTTACAGAGAATTTAAATTTCCATTTTTATTGATAGTAAATGTGAGTATGTGAAGTAACTTCTTCAAATTCTTTACATGTTAACTACACATTGGTATGTCAATTAACCACATCATGAAATGTGCTAGTTTTTGGCTCATTGTTGTTTTGTTCAAGTAATGAAGCACTGGCAAACACACTTTTGCTGAAGAAAGTGGGTATCCATCTGCAAGAATGTCTAACCCTCAAATATAAGTCAGGTGAAAAGGGAGGGAGGATGCAACCTTGTTTAAGGAACATGAAGTGACAAAAAACACATAAAAAATGAATGACAGAAGTCACAGAACATTTTATCATATCTATATTATATTTCACAAAATTTTCTTGTCCAGTGAAATCTTGTCCTCATTATAGTTCTTAGAACTGGGGGGAGTTTCGTCATAAGGTGTTCTGTCCTATTTTTTGTAGAAAATATGTTATATATAGGTAATGCAACAAACTGTTAAATGTAAACATTTCTATCAAATTGGACTAAGAACTGAAAACAGGTTAATTCTAAGTGTTTCCTCCTCATTTTTTCTTTAATCTATTCACCAAAAAGACAAATGCTTTTTAAAATGACATTCTTTAAAAGTGTCATATACTACTTAAGTTACTTCCTTCAGAAGCTCTTTACCTCTATAGCACTGCACATGTACTAGTGCTTGAATCAGTGGACACTGTATCACAGATTGCAGAGCAGGATTATCATTTGAAAATTTAGAATATAAAATTTAAACAAATTTGGAGCACAAAAAAATTATCAGAACAGCCGGCCCTCAAAATATATGTATACTAGTTAAATATGCATATTACACATTCCTTCGTAAGCGTTTGCAATGTGAAAGCACTAAAAGGCACGTAACAAAGTAGACAGTGGGGAAAACACATACACTATGAATTCATTACACCAAAACAGCTGCCAGGTATATATAACAGGTGATATTAAAAAGAGACCACACTTCAAACGACTCTCCTCACATTATAAATGTCTAGGCATTTTTCAAAGGGGAAATCCCATATTTTTTGTTTATATAAATTGTATATAGGTATAGTAAATCAATTTCTGTTTAACTTATTAAAATAGAAAAGAAGGAAAACTTGAAAGGTTGTTGCTATCCTTTCTCTATTTAATAGAGTTACAAGTAATAATATCTTTGACAGAGTGGCAGTTTTTCTTTTTATTTCGGTAAAGGATTTCATCTTGGGGTATATCATTATATTTTAATAGAAACTGAAATCATCTTCTGTCAGGCCAAAGCCCCAACATCTCTTTGTGTGAGTACCAGCAGGAGAGGAATCAAAACACTATCTGCTGAACTAGATCAACATTTGAAGTGAACATTGACACTGTCTTCAACAAATAATGCTTCCAAATTTCAAGAGAAAGGAATTATTGACATGAGTCATTAACTTGTGTGTAATTTTGCGAGTTTAATGACTTGATTGTGGTAGACTGATGCTTTAACCTGACAAATGAAAAACCTAGGACAAAATACACACCCTCGATAAAAACCTGCCAAAAAATATGTCCATCGCTAAATCGTACCAGTCCTGCTGTCATTAAAAAAAACAAGATCTCTTTATTTTCTTGCCTTGTTCCTCATTATGACTACAGAAAGCATATTTGTGAAGGAAAGTGTTGGAAAAATGGCCTTGTTTGAACTTTATAAAAAGTTTTATTTCTTTGGAAACACTTGTATGGAATCCTGTGACAAACCTATGAGTTATAAATCAAACCTGATAATTGTCACAGATAGTCTTATATTTCGCAAGTGGTGACAATGAATAATTAAAAAGGCTCCTGCTTACTCGAGCATGTTCAAATCTTTCTGCATGCATTAGTAATGAGAAATTTCAATACACAAAACAATATACCGTAAACGGCGAAAAAATTATTTCTAACAAAAAATTCCTACACTAAATATCTGTATGTACTTTGTTTTTATACACTGATATCCATCCAGGAGATTTTTTCGTGACTCTACAAACAATAATTGCTATGATATCTTAGGAATCTTTCAAGAAGATTTTCGGGGGGAAAAAATCAATCATAGTTTTGTTTCCAATCTAGATTGAGGGATTTTTACTGGGTTTATTTTCCACCTAAAATTTCTTATCTTCCTTCAACAGAACTCTGAAACAGTTGCATCATTCAAAGACTCTACTGTGAAAGTAACTACACTGCCAAATTTACACCAACTTTACATGAGAAAAGACATATGGACTTGGGAGATACTTTTTAACCAAAGTTTAATGATATCAATCAAAAAGGGTTTCACATCAACATATATGAAATCAAGTTTGTAGAAACATAACTAAATTTATAGTGATTTTAACAAATTGAATTATTTTTCAGAGATAGCATAATAATATTCCAAATTTCCCTTCATTCAAGTCCTCTACAAATATAAAATAAATATGCACATATGCATCTATGAGGTAAAAAGCGAAAATTAAAGAATCTCTTTTTTTCAACTAGCGATCCATCAAATCAAGCTAAATGAATGCTTGAAATCACATTCTTAACAATCTTTTAAAATGAACTGCCTGGGGGCCTGGCATTTAGAAAATAAACAGACTAAATGTACAACTCATTGGCATATTGTCTTAGGGGAGATTACTCCGTAGATTAGGAAAAATAAAAAATCAGTAACTGTTCCTTTTTATTTATGATATTACTCTACAGGCAGAAAGATTAAAAATTATTGTATAAATCAAAAATTGTCTTTTATAATTTTTTCACAAAGGTAAATCCTGTATTGCATAATTCTTAATGTAATCTCTTTTAACTCCATACATTAATGCCGTTGTAATGTAATACCCCTTCTGTTTGCGTAAAAAAGACTTAGTTAATTCATTCAAGAAGAGTAGATTTAACTGTCTGCAAATAAGACATGAAAAGACTTGCAAGGTTGTTATCAGTGTATGCAAACATAAGCTAGCCACTTCTGAGAAGGAAAACTGTGCCTTTTCCAATTTTCAAGTTATACAACATTATTCTTGAATTTTACCAAACTTCTTTCTGGAGTTTCAAGGAAGCCAAATTTTAAGATTTTCATGTAAATTTAAGACCATTCATCTAAAATAACATCAGTTGTCAGTACACAACTTCTTAGCTGATCAAACCCAAGATATTCTTCAGACCTGTCTACGGCCTGACGGAAAATGTAAACAGATATTGTTCAAGCCTGGACTCACAATCAACATTATCTAGTATAGTCTTGTAATCACAAAATTAAAGGTAGAAAAGGCAATTGGGTTATCAAATATTAGTTTCACTTCCAAAAACTACAGCACTGGGTATTTACCCAGATAACAAGCAGATATCAGATTTAAATGAGTATGAATGTGTATTGAAGATGCTACGAGAATACTTTGTAACTAGACTAACTGACTTTTTTTTAAAAACCAAGATTTTTAATAGATATAAGGTTGCAATTCTACGTTTCTTTTTATCTGTGAGTGGGTAGGCACTTGCTTGCGTGCCACTTTTCATTCATAAACACAGTCACTGAAAAACTATGCAACTGAATCAATGATGTCAGAGGCACTTTCTGTAAATGTAAAAAGCTCTCATTCCTGGCACAACGTCTTATAGTTCCTCCTGCACCAGATTATATTAATGTCACTAGCCTTCATAGTTTGGGAGTGTGGAGAAGAAATTGTAAAGAATGTCCAACATTATCATAAAGTTCTGTCTTTACAGTACAACAACTTATAAATCATAAATAGATATTCTGTAGAGCCTATAGTGTCAGTTTTAAAGAATTGATAATATTGGTACCTATATTATTAATAACAATTCGGAAATGACTATTTATAAACACCTACTAACAAGTTGATAAAATGCCAATTTCAAATAAAAATTTACAATAAATCTTTTATCTTAGAGTTAGAAGCGTCTTTAAACCTTTACCCTTGGGATACTGGTTGTGCTTGATATTTTTGTTACACTACAATTGATCGACAGTTAACAGAGGAATTTGTGGCATGTGTTAGTTTTCATTTCACTTTTATAATAAAGTTAATATCAGGGCGCGATTTAATGTGTATCGACGCGTCCAGTTCATAATACGCAGATGACCCAATTTTACCTGGGACCCTCTTCGATACCCCGGCCAGGTAAAGTAAATAAAGTGCTGTAAGAATGATCCCATAGTCTCCTACCACAACTTATATCTTATCAATCCCCACTAACATGTTCTGGTCACCATTCAAAAAACTTGGGAATATTACGCAAGTTTCCCAATCTCGTTTTTCGACAGCTACCCAACTTATACCAAATAATTTGACAGTCTTCGCGGTGGAATAAACTTACCTGGTTCCTTATATTTAGCACTTCCAGCGAATTCGCAGTTTGTCAGTTTTAATCCATGTACCAGTAATACCAGACTGAATATAAGAAAATTCTTATGAGCCATCTTTCGTCTTAGAATGAACAGTAAACTATCATTTTTAGCCTTCTTCGCACTCCTTCGGCAGCGTGTTTGTAAAAGTATAAAGTTTTGCGATGATACGATTAGCTGAACCTGAACCGGAAATAGCGTCAGAATAACAATAGTTATCAAGTTACGCGCGTTATTTTGTCAACAAGAGCACGTGGATAATGCACCTTCGTCAAAAATGCTGTGAACTTCAATAGTAAAAAGAAAAAAATATCAATCAAATTCTTTTTCTGCGGTCGCATATAAACTTCTTCCTTCTTGCCATATAATTCTTTAAGTGAGAAAGAGAATGTTTTTTTGATAAATAGCTTTTCATTAGAAAAGGGGGCGTGACTAGGGGGCGGATCACTTTAAACACTTAAAAACAGCATATTTCTTATTTTAATTTCCAGAATGATTTTAGCGATAAAAAGGTGATTATGATATATTAGTTGAAATACTTGTATCAAAAAAAGGTTGCAACAATTAATATTCCGTTTAGGTCAACCAAGTGATATTTTATTTTATAACTTTCAAAGATATGTCAAAAGAGAGCTTCCTTTCAAAATATGTTATCATTTTTATATTATCACTATTTTGATGCTGAAAAGTTCATTTTATAATTATATTGGCTTTAACTAAACAAACCAAGTGTTTGTGAGACCAAAAAATTACGTAGTACTGTTACATGCATGTACCCTTATATTTAATTTTTTTTTTTTTTTTTAGTTATCTTTGTACTATAAAAATGTTGAAGGTGGTATTTGATAATCTTATTTTGAAATAATACACATTTTAAGGATGATGTATACAATATTCAGTGACAAGCAAGTATGCATATATATATAAAACTAATCACATCAAAACGACAAAACTATTAAATTCAACATCGTTTTAATAGTCTTTTTTTTTAACTAGCACACACAGGCATGAAAACAGTTTTTATAAATTACAATAAAAATCTGTGATCTTATATTCAAAATGAGAGATTTACGACCATAATTGTGTAAACAAACAAATTTAGGTGAGATCTTTACCATACTATGCCATAAAACAAGAACAGTAATCAGACTATTTTACTGAGTTGTTTCTCTAAACCATTCAGTCAAATTACTGATTACCTTCCGATGCAATAAACTAAAAGGACGGATTCCGAAGCCCATGCCAGTGACACGCAAATTAGTTGGAACCAAACTACTGCCATCTATAAACTTCAAAATGAATTACATTCATTCGTGAGGGAGATAATTCTGAACAATAATAACTACGAAAATAAAAATGAAACGACTAAATATATGAATAGATGGTTTCTTTCTGTCATTTTTTTAAATTTCAATGCAAGGTTTTATTCACAACGAAAGGAAATACTGTGGATGCGGTGAAAATATCGTTTTTTACTAGTTTATGCAATTTAAATTGCACACATTTGCTACATGCAGACGTCAAGGAAACTATTTTATCAAAACACATTTTTTAGTGAGTTCTTTTTTTAAATATCAGTTGTAAAAACTCCACGCGATCCTCGCTGTGAAATGTGAGTATTTGGCGTCAGTCTAGGTGTAACACAGATTCTCCTTCTCTGTCACAGGAGTGACGTCATTTTCGTTCAAGGGGGCACATGCCTTTGGGGGTACGTTATCAATTGATTTTTTAATGCAATTCAGTGAATGTTTTTGATTTTTTAAGCTGTCAGAAAATCGTGTAACTAAGAAGCAGTTTAGATCACTGATTTTGTTTAAACCACAAACACTGTTTTATCAGTTAAACTCTGAGGTGGGGTTAGGGAGATATAAAGTACGTAGAATTAAAACAAATCGTAAATTAAAATGAAATCTTATGAAAGATTTCCTTTTTCCAATTGAAAGTATGTTTCTAAATAATTTCTTACTAACAGATTAATTCAAAACCACTCCCTGCTGTTGATAGACACCCCCCCCCCCCACACACACACACACACAAACTTTATTAACATTTAGTTTGTTTTTATGTTTTCTTTTCATATTTAAATCTTATATTTTAGATGTTCTTAAAGAAGTTTCGGTGTACTTCATATCCCTTTTACAAGACGAGATGCATATAGCGCCTATGAATACATTTACCAACACGAGTTACATTGCATGAGCTATATACATATATACAGGAATTTTTAATATCATTACAGAATGGTTACATTCACTGCATGGATATTGAACAATGTCTGATCCATCAGTTATGCATACAATGACATATTCATCTATAATGCAATATTTAATATATTTGAATTTACTTTGGATGTTTTTTCAAACAAATATAATTATAAACAGTAAAATGTCTTTCTTTGTTGTTACTACGAAAATTAACGTCGCAGCAATTGCAGGAAAAACAAGATGTGTTTGTGAAACACAATGCGCCCCGTCACAAAAACTTTAACCTTGCATAGGTCCATAACTTTTGATTTAGTGGAGCTATGACTTTCATATTTCATGTGTATTCCTTGTGACAAGACCTTTTTTTACATATACCAAATTTGACCTTTTGACCTTGACTCTGGAGTTTGACCCAATTTTACACAAAAATTCCAAACTTTTACTTTGGCCATAACTTTTGAATGGTAGGTACTAGGACTTTCATATTTCACATATGTATTCTTTGTAGCAAGACCTTTTATTGGATACCAACAACTTTGTTTTTTGACCTTGACCTTGGAGATTTCACGTACACAGATTATGACGAAAAAACTTTAACTTTGAGCATTACTTTTGAATGGTAAGGGCTAAGGCTTTCATACTTCAAATATATATTTCTTGTAAGAAGATCTTTCATTGAAAACAAAGAACTTTGCCTCTTGGACACTGGCCTTGGAGTTTGACCTACTTTTCAAAATCTTCGACCTTGGCCACAACTTTTGAACAGTAGATACCAGGACTTTCATATTTCATTTATGTATTCTTTGCAAATTCTTTCAAATACAACTTTTCCATTAAAAACAGAGCATAAAGTGTATTGTTCATTCTTTCTTACTAAGAATATGACACTGACATGTGTTTTCCATGTCACCCACGAACAGACTAAGAAAAGATATAGATTTTTTTCATGATGGACCATCAATAGAATTTATTTTCGAAATATTGACATGCGTTACGGGAAGAATATACCACAACAAAAATACAAGCTACAATTCTAGTAGTCGGATAATGACGTTACGGAAGTACAGTGATTGGTCATGCAAACTCTCGGCGATTCTATCAATGTTCTACTCTTCCCCGGGGAGATCCACACGCCTCCACGACAAAGACAAACATCTCCCAGTATCTCATTTTAAAGGATGGAAATGCTGTTAACTGTCACTTTCCCGGCGCATCCTCCCGAATCACCGTCATTCTGTAAGCAGTACAAACATTATCCTGGTTATGACCAACAAGAATTAGATTATATGATCGGGTTTTAACGACCATTTCAGGATAAGTAGGCACAATACAAACTTTATTTCAGATATATTGTTTTTTCTTTGTCTTTACTGACATAGCACAAACCAATAAATCTTCTATATATGCAACATAAACGCCACAAAAGAAACTGGTAGCGATACTGATTTAGCTTTACAATAATTTAAGAAAAGCGGTACAAGTGATTCTAATCCTTGGTTGAAACTAGATTGAATTCTCGAACTAACAGTGTGTACCCTTGTTCCAAATCCACCCACTCGTTGTTTCGTAATACCTGAGTTTCAATTATTTATGCCAGATTATAGAGTATGAACATCATGACATATCTGTTCATCATTAAACTTTGATAAATGAAAAAAAAACAAGGTTAACGTTTCTTCAAAGAGCATCAAACTTCACAAACTTCACAAACTTCAAGGTCATGAGGCCAAATATCAAACAATCCGAAATCTTGTCATAACAGATGTATTGTACATGTAATAAAAATATATGATAGACTGGTCTTTCCTTGAACATAAGTTATGATCAAAGATAAAAAATCATAGTTTTATCAAATTGTTAGGTCTAGGTCAAAGACAAACAAGCTAAATCAGAGAATCTTTGTCACCAGCAAAAGGAAGGTAAGGGGATGAGCTGATCAAGGACAGGGGGGGGGGGGTTTCGAGGGGGCACTTTAAGAAGGGTGTGAGGGCCATAGGGCCTTATGAACTTATCGTATAAAATTTAATTTAAAAAAACACTCAAGCTTCTTGAGATATTGAAATGAAAGTGTCACTCACACACACACACACCCTGAATGTGTGAATTTACGACCTTGACCTTCTGACTTCAAAATAGTTTTTTTTAGGCCATAGGGAGTTGTGGAATAAAATTTCATTCCCAAAGATCAAAAGCTTCTCGAGATATCACATGGAAAAGTATTTTTGGTCACGTTGCTCTCTGCATGTTCTTGACCTCATCGTACCTGCGTTAACATTTGATCATTTTTAACTTCTTCTCTGCAGCTCAATCAATATTCAACCAATTTTGGCATAAGGCATCTATGGGTGAAGGGGAACAAAAATTGTGAATTTCATGGTCCCTGCTCCCCTTGGGCTTGAGAGGTGGACCAAAACCACTAAAATCATCCTTTAAAAATCTTCTTTATTCCTAGACATGAAGCAAGCTAATGCATAATTGCAATAAGCATCAAGTCCTCTGCAAAAATTGTGAAAATCACAGCCCCAGGGTTAGGGGTTCTAGTACTAGGGCGGAGCTATATAAATAATATAGTGAAAATGCATTAATACTTTGAAAATCTTCCCTGCTCCTGGTTATTAAACAAACTGACAACATGCAAAGTTATGATGAGGATGGGTGCCTCTTCCAAAATTAAGAATTTCATGGCCACAGGATCGGAGTTCTGGTATTCAGGTGGGGCTATATCAATAATACAGTGAAAATACATTAATTCCGAGGGTCTTCACCTCTTACTATTGGTATAAGAAAATGATACCAGGTACCATTCTGCTTTGTCAGTCCTGATGCACTAGAGGTACATGAGATTACCTGCATTTCAAGATAAAAACATACTTTAACTCCTATACTGGTACTTTTTATTTAATTTAACAAGCAATAAAAACATTTATGACACAAAACTCACGTATATCTTATATACCGGGTACATTAATTCTGTAATGCAGTTAAATAATTTTCTTACATTAGAATCTTGTAAATCATGATCATGTTTCTTCATAATGCCCTAAAATAGAATATTGAAATATTGTATACTTCATCAACTTATCATTTAAAATATTACGGTACAACAACACATTGTAATTACCAAGAAACATGACACAAATTTTATGCACAAAAAAATCATTAATAATTTTACACATTTTTTTTAATATTAACTACTAGACATGTCTGCTCTTCTCTGAAAAGATATGTGTTGGGGACAATACATAATGTGACTATATCAATTTCAAACAATATGTTATCAAAGTTACATCAAAGTTATATAGTTTATGAAATGAAAACACACTTTGAGGTTCCAGCACTTATAATGTTAGTGAACATTTACTACTCATATTAACATCAAATGTTACTCACATAAATAATCATCATGTACCAAAAACATCACTTCAACAACAGCAAAAGACATGACATGAAAAATCAGTTTCCAAGGAATGTTTTAATTTAATTATATCATTCATCATTTGTTTAAAGACCAAAGAGGGTCAAGTGAACCCAAAGGGTCTGAAGGGTCAATAGTTTGACCTGAAAGCCCAGATGTCTTCTGCTGAAAATTAGCTTTTGTTATTTTCTTTTTACCCTCACTTGTCCCTAGGTCAAAGGTCTGTGGATTTTGTAGGTCAGCAAGTGACAACTGGTTCCCTGCTCGTGCAGACTGATGAAACGGTGACCCTTCCTTAGATTCTGGTGCCGAGTCAAAGCTTGGAAGTGACACTGAGTCCAAACTCCTGTGTGATGCTGAATCCAAGCTTTTAAGAGAAGAACCAGACTCGGAATGAACCATTTTAGGACTAGAATCAACACTGTCTTCCACTTTCTGAGAGGTTTCAGTTCCATGATCTCTTCCTTTGTTTTTATCCGCCCGTTGCACCACATCAGGTAAGTTCTCCGACAGATCCTGTTTGAGGTGTTCCTGGGATTTTCCTACCTCTTCCTCCGTGGGTTCCATGGCGTGAAGTCCCATTTTAGCCACATTTGTTCGTAGAGCACTAACAGACATAGAACCAAACAAGATGTCCTCAGTGGGTGTCCATTGATTGGATTTCTCTCCTGGATGTGGGAGTTTGTCTCCGAAAGATGCTTTCTTTATTAGGATCCCCTCTACAGAAATGAAATTGATCTTGAACAACTTATCAAGTTTAAATAATGGTTATTAATCAGGTAACAAAAAATTGACAATAAGAGAAACAAAGCTTTCAAAACCCAAACAAAATATGAAAGGACAAATACATTTCCTCCATGCTTACATAATTTTTTTTTACAGCAATGTCTATACTATAAATTGGGACATCCAAGGTAAATTTGTATTGCAATATGAAAAGAAAAGGACCTTTCTTCATTGGTTGATACATAAGGCTCTTACCAATAAATACAATGTATGTAAATTTTGGATAAAATAGCTTGCACAGTTTCCTTGAGAGTGAGTTATATCTCAGTGTGATGGACACTTACCTTTAGCTAAAATGTCCTGAGCATAAAATAAAACAGCCTCATATGCATATTTCAGCTGAAATTTTTCCTTTATGGCAAGACGTCGTTGTTTAAACATTTTCTTCGCCACATCCATGATACCAGAGACCCCTTTTCCGTGATCAATGTCTTGCATACAAGTGTATATCAACATGAACACACCTGTCCTGCCAGTCCCATTACTAAAAATAAAAGAATCGTAAAGATAAAGTCTCAAGAAAGGAAGGACAAACTGTTCATCTCTCTATCTTTTAACATTACTAGAAAACTGACACAGCCAGTTAGGTGCCACTTAGGGCTGTCGGTAAAAAAGTGACAACTTTCCAAAATTAATGTTTCAAACAAAATGTACCACAAAAACAATACAACAGGTAATATGCAATAGTACATGTATATATTTCAGAATTATTATCAGAATATCCATAATTGTTATATCGGTATAAGGAATTCTTTAAATTTATATAGCTGGGGATCCTGGATAACTTCCCTTTATCCATGAATTCACAATATCCTTGTCCGTACTTATCAAGTTTTACTGTACATATGCCTTACTCTCATAGCAAAGTACATGTACTTCTGAATGAAATTTGAAAATTTTCAGTTGAAAAGTATTCAAGTTGTCAAGTCACATTGTCACAATAATTGTGTTCATGGGTAAACATTTGATCATACACAAAAACTGCTAGACAAAGCGATGTGACCATTAAAAATGTTTAACATGGAGTCATGATTTCATGGTGACTCAATTTTAATGGAATTCATGGGTACCTTTCATACACAAATTAATAATTTATGGTTACAAATCATAACTCTTCTTGTAGGTATACAACTTTACACAAAATTACGTCCCCATTAACAGGTAAAATTTAAACTATCCAAGAAAATTGACCCCGAAGAATTTTTATGATTCCAGAGTAGGTTTCTTTCTCTCAGAGTTATAAACTTCTGTACAAAATTTGAAAATGATATGTAGAAAACTTTATTACTTTAAAACAAAAGTGATGATGGACAGACAAATGACCGAGTGATTCCAAATTAATTTTCAACAACTTGTGAAGTTATTTTTTAACGTTACAGAAGCTTCCTTTTACCTGCAGTGAACCACCACTGGCTTTAATAGACTGCGCTGCTGTTTGTAAAAGCTGTGAACTTCAGTAATGAATTGTAGGATATAGGAAACATTCTCAGGAAAACCACTGTAATAGAGAATTAAAGTACATGTATCTTAAAGAAACTAATTAAAATATATACCTGTAATATAATCATTGATTTGTTATATGATTTATATCCAATAAATATATCCAGTAAGTTCAAAACAATAAGGAATGAAAATCAATTTGCTGTATGTGTGATTTCATTATACAAACAGCTTTACTGAACAAGAGGCCCATGGGCCACATCGCTCACCTGAGAAGCTTTGAACATTCCGTTCTTTACCAGATTTCCCCTTGTTATACACATTGTGACCCCACCCTACCCAACTGACCATAATTTAAACAATTTGAAATCTACACTACCATAGGATGCTTTGATTCAACATAGTAAAACTTTGATTCCCCATTGTGGCCCCGCCCTACCCCCGGGGGTGACATGATTAGAACAATTTAGAATCTACACTATCCCAGGATGCTTCCACATAAGTTTCTGCTTTTCTGGCCCAGTGGTTCTTGCGAAGAAGATTTTTCCTATATATTTCTATGTAAAACTTTGATTCCCCATTGTGGCCCCGCCCAACCCCCGGGGATCATGATTTGAACAAATTAGAATCTACCCTACCCCGGGATGCTTCCACATAAGTTTCAGCTTTTCTGACTCAGTCGTTGTTTAGAAGAAATTTTCAAAGATTTTTCCTATATATTGCTATGTAAAACTTTGATCCCCCATTATGGCCCTGCCCAACCCCCAGGGGTCATGACTTTAACAATTTGGAATCTACACTACCCTGGGATGCTTCCACATAAGTTTCAGCTTTTCTTGCCCAATGGTTCTTGAGAAGAAGATTTTTAAAGATTTTTCCTATATATTTCTATGTAAAACTTTGATTCCCTATTGTGGCCCCGCCCTATCCCCGGGGGTCATGATTTGAACAATTTAGAATCTACACTACCCAGGATGCTTCCACATAAGTTTCAGTTTTTCTGGCCCAGTGGTTCTTGAGAAGAAGATTTTTAAAGATTTTTCCTATATATTTCTATGTAAAACTTTGATTCCCCATTGTGGCCCCGCCCTATCCCCGGGGGTCATGATTTTAACAATTTATAATCTGCACTACCGAAGGATGCTTCCACATAAGTTTCAGCTTTTCTGGTCCAGTGGTTCTTGAGAAGAAGATTTTTTAATGACCCCAGCCTATTTTTGTCTTTTCTTGATTATCTCCCCTTGTGAGGGGACTTGGCCCTTCATTTTCACGATTTAAATTTCCCTTCATATAAGGATGCTTTGTACCAAGTTTGGTCAAAATTGGCCCAGTGGTTCTTCAGAAGAAGTCGAAAATGTGAAAAGTTTACAGACGGACGGACGGACGACGGACAAAATGTGATCAGAAAAGCTCACTTGAGCCTTCGGCTCAGGTGAGCTAAAAATGTAACAAAGTAAAAATTGAGACATACCTAACTGGCCAATTTTTGTACTGCAACTGCACAATTGTTCTTCCCTGCTTTTTCTACAATGTGTAAAAGTTTTAAGTTTTATTCATTCTTTATGTAAATGCATGCTTCTATGATTTTAATCATACAAGAAAGAAGGTGTTACATGTATTAGGCTTTTACCTCACTGTGATTTAAATAAATGATCCTCTCTACCCAGTTGACCTTGTCCTTGACACTCTGCAATGTCAGTGTTATTGGACCATGGTACTCTGTCCTTCCTTTCTGTTGAGGCCAATATTCAGGGAATTTCTAATAAACAGTTTAAATATATCTTTATTAAAACTGCATGTTTATATAATACACTTCTTGATAAATACACACCATTTCAGATTATTTCTATTCAATATTACACATCAAGTACTATCTGTACACAGGTACAAAATGTTATAAAAATGGAATTTTTTCCCTTAAAATGTCAAACACCTTTCCTTCCTCAGTTTCACTGGAGAGCATGACTATGACCTCTGACCCTTGTTCATACACCATTACCCAGAAGTCTGTGAGTGTCACAGGAAGTGGAGACTGGGTTGTTATAAACTTTGGGCAGTTTGGTGACAAATCCTATTCAATATACAATACAGAAAAAAAATCCTCAATACATATCAACAGTCACAAATACATTTAGTATAAAGGTGCCGATTTGTAGAATAAATCATTAAATGAAAAGATATACAAACTTCCTTCATTGAGCAGCTTACCACAACAAGACTTGCATTGATATAGTCATCCTTCAGTGTGGTGAGTATAATTCGATTTTCATCATCTACAGCATAAAAATAACAGTTGTTTTAAAAGAATCCTGCTCTGCAACCTTTCTTTACAATAAATTCTATCAATATGCACACTTGAAAAATAAAATTTAGAGAAATATATACCCTTTTTGATTTTTTAATTTGGTTGGAAATTATTATAGGTTAATTTTCATCATTTTATCATCAAGTATGAATAAAATTTAGAGAAATATATACCTTTCAGAAAAAAAAAATTAATTAGGAATCATATATGTTTTCTGCATTTCATCAAGTAAAATGTTGTTAATAGCAATTCATAAATCATCATAAAAAATAACAAATCCCACATGTAAAGAATGATAACTTACAAGGCATGCTGTCTTGCTCTCTGTTTTTAGCTGGGTAGCATCGGGCTATGGCCATAGAGGCCTTCTTCCCACGTCTGTCTTGTTCTTCTATTAGTTCCTGTAAAATTGACTAACAGTGCTGCATACCTGTTTCTCACATTGTATGTATACTGCATACTGTGGTTTCATAAATTTTGTTGGCATCAACTTTCGTAGATTTTACAAAACAGAGGTTTTCGAGGATACATAATTTCGAGGACAAAAGCATTGTCTTTGTAAATGAATAACACATTTCTCAATTCAATGAACATTTAATTTCGTCGATGTGCTCAACAACGAAATCCTTGAAAATTGGTGCTCAACAAATATTGATGAAACCACAGTATATAAGTGCATGTACAGATATCAAAGACATTAACCACTTGGACTTATTACAGGCTTGAGGCAAGCTTTGGTTGTGTTGACACAATCCCTAGTTATTCAATTTATGAACATTTATATAGAAATATGATTTTCATTAATCCATGATTGATGACAAGAAATTTGTTGCATTGTACACTGCCAAAGTTATATATTTATATAAAGATTCAAATATATTAATTGAATATCACAAAAATTGTATTAATCGGTTCATATTAGTGCAACACTAAATTTGTATTGCATTGACACTTGAAATGCAGTGAAGTTTACATGTATTAGTAAAAAAAAAATATTTAATATGAAAAATGTTCATTGTAATACATAGGATTACTGCAAGTATACAATATTTGGTTCCATTGGTATTTTACCTTCCATGCTACATCTAGATTGGTGGGCCCAGAACATGTGGTTTTTGTGAGGCTCTCCACATACTTGGCAAGTTTCTCCACCTCTCCCACAAACCTATCCTTCAGCAGGGGGTCAGAAAAAGGATCCTTCGATGCCTGACGGGCCAACTGGTTCTTAATCACAGCTTCTTCTTTTTGTTGTTCAATTTCCTTTTGATAAAAACAAGTACATGTACGGTAATAACAATTTTTCTGCTATAAAATTATTGACTACTGCTATGGAATACATTACTTCCCTAAAAGTTTAAAACTATAACGAGGGACATGCACATTCAATTAGTATTTCATAAATTGGTATTTCTTTTCCTAATTTTTTTAAATAAATATTCAATGTCACGTAACCAATAGGTACATGTATTATCTATGAAGCTTTTCTGTTTCCCAGTTTCAGAGAGTAGAAATTTTCTTTATCTACCATATTGTCTTTTTTGTAATTGTTTTACAAACATTTCACTATAATAAAAGATTCACTAAATTAGATGTTATGAGAAGCGGTCCATCAATTCTAACACTAGAGCAGCTTTGATGATGAAATTAATCAAGCATCAAAATTATGAAGAATATCAAGCAATACCAAATACTTCTAACCATCGTAAATCAATAGATAATGCATTAGGAGGATGAGAGAAAAAGAATGTCCTTACTTTTTTCCCATTAACAAAATGAAACTTAAAATACATATATCAATGCAATTAAGGAAAACGTTAATGGCATATTAACAAAAAAAATCTGAAGATGAAATAAGAAAAGGAATCTTTTTGCTGAAGAAAAGTTTGCAATAAACATGATATGATATTTTTTTTTCCTGAAGTGTCAGAAAAAACTTTCAACATATGGATAACATCAAAGCAGATCACCATTATCCTTAATAATAAATTTGTTCTGGTAAGTCTGTGTTGTAGACAATTTGTATGAGAGTTGTGCAGTACTACCTGTGCAGTGAGAACTTTGGGGGTAAGCATGTGGTCGTGGGTGGATTTTTGGGGGATGCTTGGACTGGTGGACAGGATATCATCCAGGGAGGCGGTGGAGGCGCTGGAGTCTTGACGCTGGTGGGTTTTATGTTGAGGGACAACAGGAATCTACAGACAATTACAACCAATTACAACATAGAATCAGGACATTTTCTTCGACGACTTTTATTTTGATTTCCAAGGCCTTAACTTTAATTCTTTTTCCATTTAAATATCCCATTTAGTTGTATGCAATTGACAAAAGTAATGGAATTATCAGCTAATACTTCAGTGTGGTGTTGCCTACCTGTTTCACGGGAACCTGTTTAGGGGGAGATAATGAAGACACTGAGGGGGCCACTGATTGGGGTGGATCCTCATTGGCAACTGGCTTTGGTTGATTAACAACTAAGGGCTGTAATGGCTGCATGGATCCTGGTATATTGGAATCAAATAAACCTTGTAAATCTGTATCCAAAGAAAGAGATCATTTCAAGGATGTGACACATAGCCCCGGTATAGGACAAAAAAAATTAAATGTCTAAATTTTACTCTAATTTTTTCATGCAACTAATCACTGATATGAGTACCATAATGAAATACATGAACTACTTTTAACAAATATAAGATACATTAATCTTTCATTTGGTAGGGTTACTATGTTTGGCCCCGCCCCTCTTTCAGGCCCTTGAAATATGTGAGCACAAGGTACATTTTTCTCCTTTGATTGGTCACCATATTTTATCGAAATCTACCTATATGTGCTAGGAGAAAATTGTACCTAATTGAACTCACATGTTTATGTTTAAAATATTGAAAAATCTAGCTGGCCATTCTCATTACATGAACAGAATAAGGAAAGAAAACTATTTTTTCTGACATAATTTTCTGTTTTCAGAGATGCATTATGAGTGAGCACCACAACATTACTGGGAAAATTTAATGTTTGAAAAAGGGCTTTCTTTTACTTGCTTTCCGAAAAACAATTTTATATGCATGTCAGTCACAGACTAAATGCAATTATAAAATTTCAATTCTCACAATTACAAACATCTGATATATCATATAATTTTAAAGTTTTGTAAGTCGATAAATGGACAAATGGCTACATGTATTCGAGAGTATCAGTGAATACAAATATCTTATGCATTGCTTGATCCAAAACGATAGGCACTTAGGTTCCATGCATTGGTATTGCTATGCATAAAAAGGCTTTTGTTGACTATTTAAAGTTTGAAATATAGCTGAAATAATGTGTAAATTCACCTTAACCACATGTCTATGATAAAATATAAACATCTAGTAAACCAGCATATTTTGTCATTCAGTCATCGGATTGGACAATTGCACTCTGTAAGGGACTATGTACAAAATGATAACAATAGCCACATAAAAATTCATGGATAATGCAGTATTCATCAACATTATAAAGAATAGGAACTACTGACACTCTTCAGAAGGTGTCTTTTTCCTTCACCAGAATGATTGTAGATTTACTATAATTCATCAAAGAAAAAGGGGCCTCTGACCAATGTTTTGTCACCTGGGGCATGTTTTACAAAAGGACTGATGACTAAAGACCAAATTTAATTCTTCATATAACTTTTCAATAAACTTTTGAACGAAAATTATTTTAATCTTTTAAAAATAAATGTGGTAAGACATTTTTACATAAATAATTTTGAAGAGAATTATTAATTTTGCAAAATTTTACAATCATCTGGTCTTAGTTGTAGTTCTTTTGTGAAAAGGGCCCCCGATCCTTTACCAAAGTACTTCTTGATCATTTTGTAACTACAACTTAATTTATAACTGTAAAAGAATCAAATTACTAGTTGTCTTTTGGGAATGCTGTTCTTTCCAGATTGAATAAAGATGATACATTTATAACTTATATTTTTAATTTAGAAATACATGGAAAGGTATTAGAACCTTGGTTTTGAATTAAAAAAAAACCACTAAGGACCTTGCTGAGTTGCAGTTGGCTTGTTGATTCCAGGGCCCTGTGATGGGCCATATGGAGCTGATTGGCTTGGTTGATATGACTGATATGATCCACTGCCTTGCTGTTGGGGTGCACCACCACTAGCTGTCTGTTGGAATGTATTTCCACTGGAACCTTGGTATGGGCCTCCAGTAGATGACTGGTATGAGGCTCCTGGTACAGACTGGTATGAACCACTGACAGAGGACTGGTACTGGGAACTAGCCCCAGAGCGACATCCATTGTTGTTGTTGTGGCATTACCATTGATGACATCCACTGTTGTTGTTGTTGTGGCATATGCTGTGGTGGCATTACCATTGATGACATTTGTTGAGAAGATGGTACTTGTGCTGGCATCATCCCTTGATATGGCATCCCATTTGTTGTGGTTGCTGTTGCTGGGGCATTTGTTGTGGTTGCTGTTGTTGGGGCATTTGTTGTGGTTGCTGGGTCAACTGTTGAGGATGCCCTTGACTCATTTGTTGTGGTTGTGCTACAGCTCCAGGGTAGCTACTTGTGTTCTGTTGCTGTTGTACATATCCTGATGTTTGGTAATTCATTGGTTGACTTGTTTGCTGACTAAGGTTTGTCTGAAGATTTTGTTGAAAACTTCCACTCTGTCCCTGCTGGCCAGATCTTGGCTGTGGGATATTTTGTGACTGAGATTGTACACTGTACTGTTGTTGTACTTGTTGCAATGGCTGCTGTGGTTGAGAATAAATTTGTTGTGGGGCTTGCTGCACCCCCTGTTGCACATTTGGATAATTTACACTATTGCCAACACTACTTAATGTTGCAGATTGGGTGGTGGCTTGGCTGCCAGCCATGTACATGTGTGACTGTGCAGTACTGCTAAACATAACAGGAGGTTGTGTTGAGGTCATTTTACTCATTGACATGGCTGACATTGACTGAGATGTACCGGTGTATGGCATTCCTGTCTGAAATTTTAGCACTTGTTGCTGTGGTTGATATTGCACTTGGGGTTGCTGTTGCCTTATAGCTTGTGTTGCTGCTGATTGGCTGAGACTAGTGGCAGAGTAGCTGGTGGATGGCAGGGGACCATAACCAAGGTGTCCATATGTTAGAAGTGGAACAGAGTTTAACTGAGAAGGGTTCATTGTACTAATGTGACTTGTAGCTGTTGATGGCATAGACTGATGTACACTGGAATAAGGCATCCCTAAATGCAAAAACTCAAACCCATTTCCTAAAAATAGAAAAAAGAAAGAATGAGAACAATGAAAAAGTTTTACTGCAGAATAGTGAAATTTCATTCTATGCAACTTAAAATCATTGTTTCAAAATTAATTCTCAGCACGTATAGAAAACTATTGAATAAATGTAGATATTTTCTTATACTAGTTTCCTAAAAAAATGGTACCTGTCTGATATCTGGGATCTTTTTCAATATTTACTCTTTGCTGATTCATCTGGGATTCTGCATCCCACTTTGTGTTTTGAAGAGCTGGTCCAACTGGCTTTTGAGGGGCATAGGCATGAGGAACATGGGCTGGATGTCCATAAGCCAGGTTATGTTCTTTACTGTTGACTGTGTGGGATTTATCATCACCATGACTGAAAGACTGGGCTGGTCTTGACTGATGAGTGCTAGCATAAGGCAAGCCTAAATGTAAGTTGGCAGGAGAGGATCTTCCTTCACTGTTTGAATCAATCCGATTGGTCATGTACGCATTCATGTTACCCGTATTCTGATTTGTCATGTATCCACTGCTACCAAACTGCTGATTTGAATACATGTTTTGTTGTCCACTTGGAATAGATGGAGCTGGCTGAGCCTGCTGTTGTTGTTGGCCTTGGTTTACTGGACCCATAGATTGCTGTGGCTGGGTAAATTGTTGTAATTGTTGATTAGGAACATTCTGAGGTGGAGGCTTCGTCTGATAATATTGTCCTTCCTGCTGGATATATCCCCCTGTTTCTTGCTGACCTGCAGAACCTTGACTGTAACTGGCCATTTGCTTCATCACACTAACTCCTCTGCTGACTTGACTGTGTTGGAGCTGATTTGAGGGCATTTGGTAACTTACACTTGTTTGCTCAGTGGAGGAACTGGATGCAGGTGACCTATACTGCTGCTGACCAGTTGGCACTGGTTGTGAGGACTGAGGAATTTGTTGACTTGCAGACACCATTCCACCAGGAATTCTTGGATCCACTGATTGCTGTTGCTGTCTGGGGTCATTTTGATTATAATTAACAGGCAGCTGAACTCTTCCTTGCCTGTTTGGATCCGTTGTATTCTGCGGCCCTCGTTGTTGTACTTGTCCTGATAATGTCTGGCCATATTGTCCAGGAATCTGACTCGGAGAAACACCATGGTACCCCTGAACCTGTCCCTGTGGCAAACTTTGGAATTGAGATGTCTGACTTTGAGTTGGATATCCTTGACCATAGCCCACTGGGAGACTGTGGTACTCTTGATCCTGTGCTGGATTCTGACTTCTGCCCTGAGGTGCTGGACTTAGTGACTGTGATCTATACTGCTGCCTGGGCACTGGACTATGGGCAGGAGAGGGGAGAGCTGGACTTGGAGCAGGACTGTGACCAGGGGAGGAGTATGACTGACCCACATCAACATGAGATGGATTAAAGGGAGGTCGTACTGAGAACTGTGCCATGTGTTGGCTTAATGAAGCAGACTGATCTAGGACTGGTTGCTGACTTCCTGCAACAGCAGGGACTTGTGGGATAGATGGATTCTGTTGGTCAGCCCTCGGTAGATAACTATTTAAGTCTCCTTGATTCAGTAGGTTCTGAAATATCAATGAATGAAAAATAAGTTTTAGATTTCGTTAATTTCTTGTTTACTGTATAAATGATCAATTCTACAAAAATCGTACTACTTTCATGGGATTTTTCCCTGACCTGCATCAATATATAAAGAATAATTACAAGGAAACAACTTTGAGATAAAATTATGCTTACCTGAGGTAAACCTGCAGTAGAGCCGGGTAAATCTGGAGTGCTTCCTGTTTGGGATCCAGGATTTTCAGGTGTGGATCTAGCATTACTTCTCTTCTCCCTATCTTTGCCAAAGGTCTTTGGTTTCATAAATGGTAGATAGTCCTTCAGCTTGGGTCCTTCAAAACCAGGGATAGTGTTCAGTGCTGGCACAGGTTGTGGAGGAATAGTAGCCGTGGGGAGGGCACCATCAGAGGCACTCATAGATACTGTGGGATCTGGAACTGTATTGTCTGGCTTTGGAGCCATTGGTCTTGGAGGAGGTTCTGAAAGTAAAGTTTATTATAAGGCTTAATCCTAACATTTTTTAAATAAATTGCTCTTACACAATCTTTTCTTTTGTTACACATAAATAATTTGTAATACACAAATATAAAATTTACTTTTCTGATTTTTATCTTTATGTATGCTGTACAATGAAAGTTAATAAATTGCAGGTAAAACCTGGTTTTAGACATTACCCACGCTGACACCTACCCTTGGGTTTATGTCTGTTGATGATCTGCTCCCTCTCCTCGGCCTGGATTTTACACAACCCTCGACAGCGAGTCAAGAGTTTAGACACATTGCTCTCTAGCTTCCTGTAAAACTCCTGTCCTTTCTGTGACTTTGCCAGTAAATCCTCATACACATCAAAAGAGTTGATCAGGTCTTTAATCATCACCTCTCTCCTTCAATTAATGTATTTACAAAATGTCAGAAAATCACAAAGCACTGATTTTAAGAAGGAATCAAGCCCCTCTACTTTTTTTTTTTACTGTTTTACAGTCTTTCTAAAATAACTTTTACATGTTTTAGCTGTCAGTCATTTTGGCAAAGAAAAAATTCCTAAAAAAAAAACATTTTATTATATCTTTATAGGGCCCAAAAACATTTCCATTAAAATGAAATTTTTCATTAAAATAAATATATATTTTTTTGTATTTGTCAAAGATGGCACATATAAAGTTAATAAAAAGATAATTCATAGATGTACCTTGCAGCAACGTCCCCAACTTTCCTCCTAACCTCTGCGTATTTAACATTAGCATCAGTAAGAGCTCTGAGAATGTTATCCTGCGCTGTCAGATTTTGCTGTATGATCTCTTCCAGCTTTTTATGCTTCTGAATCTCCTGCTCAAACATAACCTAGAATGGAAAATGTAGAACAAATACAATTGAATTTCCATCTAGTCCACACTAGTATCTCACATATCATGGATATGTCAAAATGATTTGGAAGTCTAAACCCCTTTTTCTTCAAGTTTTTTACACTAGATATCTGGAATCTTCAAATATCTCAAAGGTTGTCCTCCATTTCATCACATTTAAGATAATGAATTTTGACTGTAAAATTTTCCTACACTTTTAAAAGATTTATTGCTAATAGCAATGTACTAAAGTCAGCAAGTGCCAATTTATAAACATGTATTTCATTACACAATTTAGTCCCTTTTCACCTCTGTGTAGATGGAATAATATATTTTCCTGTCTAGTGTTAAAACCAATTTAGTATTACAAGATCAACAAAACATAAATAGGAAATCTTTCACATTAAAAGCTGACAATACATCCTCTCTTTCAAACAATCCTATTGGCCTTAGATTTGATAGCTCTGAATCACTCACTTGTTTGTTGGACCCTTCTTGTGTAACAATCCTATGTGTTATATCATCTTTTTGAACTTCGGTGCGGAACTGTTCTTCCAACAAGCTTCTTTGAGATTTCATTTCGTCAACCTTTGATATTAATCTTTGAAGTTCTTTCACAATGGTCTCATCCTCTGGGGCTATATGTAGAAAAATAAATGTTATGACTTCTTAACCATGGTGCACAACAATTCAGAAACAATATGAAAAATATTTTCATAATAAGAAAAAAATATTTTCATAATAAGTAAAAATATTTTTATAAGAAGAAAAAATATCTTCATGATAAGAAATATCTGTTGATGATGCAAAATACAAAAAAAAAAAGAAATCTGTGAGCCAATGCTCACTAGTAATACCCCCGCTCCGCTGTAAATAAGCACTATCATGTTAATATATTACACAAGTTCAATTACAGGCAGATGAAGTTGACATCAGATTCATATCAAAATTAATCCCACCACATGGCATGCCTCAACAAAGTCAGTAATAAAATTTCAAGCATCTGCTATGAATAGCTAATGAGAAAACTGCTATGAAGATTTGTCATGTATGAAACAGACAGACGCACAGACAAACAGGAAGTTGACATTGGATTTAAAAAAAAAAATGTATCCCACCACATAGCATGCCTCAGAGATGATGGTATTAAAATTTCAAGCATCTGTGATGAGTAGTTGCTAAGAAAACTGCGACGAAAATTTGCTATGTATGAAACAGACAGACGCACAGACAAACAGGAAGTTGACATCGGATTTGAGGAAAAATGTATCCCACCATATGGCATGCCTCAGAGAAGATTGTGTTAAAATTTCAATCATCTACATGAGTAGTTGCTGAGAAAACTGTGACAAAAATTTGTTATGTATGAAACGGACAGACAGACGGACAAACAGGAAGTTGACATCGGATTTGAGCAAAAATGCATCCCACCATATCGCATGCCTCAGAAAAGATTGTGTTAAAATTTCAAGCATCTACGATGAGTAGTTGCTGAGAAAACTGTGACGAAAATTTGTTTCGGACGGACACACAGACACACGGACACACAGACAGACAGATAGACAGACAGACACACAAGGGTAAAACAGTATACCCCCTCTCCTTCGGAACGGGGGTATAAAAAAAAAAACAACAATAACTATAAAACTGCAATGTATACATTTCAATAGACATTGAAAAAAATTCATTTGAATAAAAACTTACTCTTTTCCTTGTCTTTGGAGGGTAATGCATTCTTAATATCTTCAATAGGTCCACCTAGAAGTCTGAGATTGGTGATGTGTGCATTCATTGCTTTATGGAGGTCATTGTTGGACTTACTCCCTTTCTTATGGCCCTCAGAAAACAAGTTCAGTTCCTTCCTGATGTTTTCAAACATTGGATGTTCTGCTCGCTTGCCAAACTGTTTCTGTAAAATGAAAAAAAAATTCAAAACAAATGCAGAACAGTTTTTGATGAAAAAATAAGCTTTTGCATTCATTTGTTGGACATATGTATTTGTTCAATCAAGAACCTGAAATTCTTCCTCTTCCTTGGCATCCTCCTCCAACATTTTACTGATTTCATTTAAAGACATTTCAACCTCTGTGGCTACATTTGAAACACCTGAAAATATAATAACATACTCAAAACAAACAATCTCTTTGATCTGATAAAGGTAGCATTCTTTAAAATCTATAAAAATTTCTGCAAAAATCCAGCTCCTGTCAGACAAACCTGTCATGGCATTCACCAGATCTTTAATGGCATTTGGTTTGACAGATACAGCAGCACATTTCTCCAGCAGAGATTGTGGCAAGTTCTCTGGCTCATAGCTCAAACTTGATTGGTCAATGTTCAGAGAGGACATGAATTGCCTACAACATTATCATAAAGAATATGATATATGTAATCAATGTATATTCTAGAAACATGTTGTAATTTTTAATTACATAAACATGTATTAAAATGTTTATTATCCAGATTAGGTAAGCTAAAATTGTAAAGTTCTAAAATGTACATTTTTTATCTTGTCCTTTTCTGATGAATTGAAAGTATGCAAAGCAAAATTACAATAAATTAGGGTTTTCCACAAAATGACTTCACTTACGCCAGCTCTGCATTCTTCTCCTCTATAGTTCCACAAACTCTTCTTATCAGTTTGGCTTTTTCTTCACTGAAAAAAATGAAGAAGATGGAAATGTTACCATTTTTTTACTACAAAGATCTACTAACCTAGTATCCAATTTCTCAATGTTAATTACATCCTTGTGATGTAAATATACATAATGAACTTTTTACTAAACCATATTTACATGTATATGATAATCTAGATTATCTGTACAATGTTTAAAAGCTTTAGGGACTCTGCACATCAAAATAAGTTTGATACTAGTAAGCACTGCTCCGTAAAATCTACCTGATAATCCTTTAAAACCCTCTATATCCACCTCTGAATATATACCTGTAGAGAGATGAAGCCTCGTGGGCCTCCATTGGGACCAGTTTCTGGAATAAATCTGGGCCCGAGACTTCAGGATCACTCGGGTTAAAGGTTATACCCTTTACTAGAGAAGCACCTGTAACATAGCACATATTGTTTGTAAGTTCTGAATACTACATACTCTGAACATGTGAATCTGCATACTCTCCAAACTAAAATGAAAATTACCTTTAACTTCAGGTAAACTGGTAATATCTGGAACCTTGTCATGGTACACAAAATCATTATCCTTCTTGGCAGATTGGTACCTGATAAAATATTAAACTTTTTATGCCACTTATACTGAAGATTACAGAAATATTCCACTTCAAAATCCTTACTACGTTGAAACCCGAAGAAAAATGGCAAATACATATAAAAAATGTTTTTCTATTCAAATTAAGAAAAGTAATTTTTCTTGTCTATCGGTTCCCTCAATGGCTTTAAAATGAACTTACTTTCCTCCTATGACATCCATTGCAAATCTGAAAGATTCCTGGATATCCCCACCTTCACTCTGTAAAAAAAATGTAAACACACCATCAGTATATCAAAGAACATGCAAGAGACATGTAACTAATACATAGCTCAAAGTTATCACAGTCTATATTTATCATTAACAAAACCACATAGATATCAAACTCCCATAACTACCATAAAGCTCATAATTTTATCAGAGTCCATATCTTTCATAACTTGTAGTTATCCCATACCTCTGAGTCATACCTGTACAATGTTACTGTAAAGCATCTACATATTGACTTACCTTGCCCTGTTTAATACACTCATTGAGTTTGTTGAATGCCGTGGTGTAGTATGCCAGACACTCTCCCCATTTCTGTTGGTCCTCTGACTGCTTCCCCATGTAGAAGTTTGTAATGCATTCATAAAATTGGCTCTTTAGTTCCATTCTTCTCTTCCATTCCTAAATAAACAACCAAATTATTTTTAAAAGAAATCCTTTTTGATCACAAATTTTATCTGAAAACCTGTGAATTAGCTTTGTACATGTAGCATGTGTGCTTTCATTTCTTCCCTTAAAGGTTATCATCACTTACTTTGTATTTACGTGATGGCACTATTCCCTCTTTGTAGGCAGGTTCCAGAGATTTCAAAGCAAGGTTGTTAAACTCCACAATTTGGGCTGCTACTTTGGCAGTAATGGAACTCTTTCTGCTGTCAATCATTGACTTCTCTAAGATACACTCCTGTGCCTGTGCCTGTAAACAAAAAATCATAGTTTACTAGTCATCAAAGAGCATATTTACTCCTGGCCAGAAGATTAATTAATCTGATTCAATCTTCAACAAGCTGATGCCTTCTTTTAGGCCTGCTGAGCTTCAGATACAGAATTATGGAAGTATTAAAAGAAATTTTGAATACTATTTACACCCTTAACTCTAAGGGCATTTAACAAAGCATACCATTTCTCTCCCTTACAAATCTTTTGAAAAATACTCTAATGGTGACATGTGGAATATGATACTCCATCTTTACAAATGAAATTACTGTAGAAGTACTTTTTTCCATGTGGTATTATTTACGCTATGTATGTGGTCACAAATTTTCTGCGGAAATTAAACCCACTGAACTTAATACAAATATAAGGCATATAAAGAGAGACTTAAGATATCTGTGTAATTTTCTACCAGAGGATTGAACAGAAATAGAGATTCCTCGGAATTATGACCCCACAGAAAAAAGTAAGTCTACAGTAACTCCAGGAATTAATGTAAAGAATTGTTCAAGATACATAGGTATTTTGGGATACAAAAAACCAGAAATTATTATCAATTTGCATCAACTGTTTGTTCCATTCCTGTTCATCCTTCCATGGTAATGTTCTTCATGTAAAATCAGCTCCTGTGCAAATTCTATTTAAAGTATGTTTGTCTAGGAATACGGTTTTAATCTCAATGAATTTCTGGTTTTTAGTATATTTATAAATGATTGAAGAGGATTCAATGAAAAATCCCAAACCAAACAATACTTTAATTTGAAGTTCTCAACCATGAATTACTCACATCATCAAAATTTACAATTTTACAAACACAAGTAATTGCTTACCAGCATCAAATTGATGTGAAAGGTCAAGAGGTCATGTGAAAAGTCAAGGCTCATCATGGCTGATCCAAAGTGGTCTCTAAGATATTCAAAGGCTCCTGAGGCACACTGAAAGTGTGTGCAAGCCACCTTCATACTCTGAAACATAGAGAGCAGCATTATCAATTTGAAGGATTTTCACTCTTATTAACACAGACAGTAGAGAATCTCCTTTCTATTTCCGTTTTTACTTAATTTTTACATTCATAATTGTGTGCTTCTTCAAAGTACACTGTCACTTATCTTGATTATTTTTATTAACCATTGAAAGGTTTATGTACAAATTCTGTATCAAAAAAAAAGAAAACTGATATAAAATAAGTACATCAGCATTTGTTCTGGTTTCCATAGATCCCAGTATGGAGTGTAATGCTCCAATGTTGTATAGAACTGAAGCCTGCTCAAACTTGATGTCTGCTAAAGTGACCTCTCTAACCATGAAAATGTCCTCCCTGAAAATATAAATCATGACGTCTGAAGAAAGATGTGCATGTTAAAGAATATGAAATGCATGTAGTAAAAAGCTGTTTGTTATCTGTAATTTACAGGAACAAACGAGTGACCCTTGAACTTATACAATCATTTTTCACTAGCATAAAAGGCCTAAGAATTTAGATAAAAGTAAATAAAATTACTGTAGTCAACATAAATAAAACAAGTAAAATACATGCATACAATATACATATAACATATTGCATTAATATTTAACCAGCATTTGTCTTTTCTCAAGGCAACTGAAAGCCCTAAATGCATAAATTGCCATTCACAATACCTAGTCTACTGGCTATATATACATACAATGGTTTAATTTAAACATTTTTCTTAATTAACTCCCCTTAAAGGGATTCTGGCCCTTCACTGGAACAAAAGTGAATGCCCTTCACAGAGGCTTCACTCAAAGATACCCTGTGCCAAGTTTGGTTGATTGGCCTTGTGGTTTTGGAAAAAAAGATTTGTAAAACTAAAAAGTATATGATTACAACGACAACAATGACAATTATGATAACAAAGAACAAATTTTCATTAAACATGTAGCTTATTTGAGCCTTACTCTCAGATGAGATAAAAAAAAAAACATCTCTGAACTGATCTCAAATTTGAAATATGGAACAAAGATCTCATTTAAAGAAGACTAAAATGCTATATATACACCTGTACATACAACATCAACAATGCTAATACAATAATTTCTATTCATTTTTGTTTTATACACACATATTTTTTTTTTTATTTTCTACTGAGAACTGAAACTCTGATAGGATCACAACCATTCAGATACCAATAATAGGTGTCAAAATGGTACAATTATCAGACATTATTGAAAGATCTTTTCCTTAAATCATTAAATGAATAACCCATTGATTGAATTCTTGCAAAATCTCCTCTACCTTGTACAATAGCAACTTCTTAAAATGTATAATTCCCCTGTCATATTTTAAAAATATTCAGTTGTTCGACTTAACAACAAAGGATTATTAGGTTATTTGGATGACACTGTTTTTATACTTACGTCAGATACCTTTGATATTCATAAAATGATTTAGTGTTAGTAATGATTAGTTCATCTGTGAATCTGCCATGCACAGTTACAAAGTAAATAGTTATGATGAAGAATTTCTTTATACAATGCAGTTTTGCAGTCATAGTTTCATAAGAGACAATTTTTAAACATGCCATCATTACACAATGCACATTATTAAACAATGCTGAAAAATCATTCATGTTCCCCCCTCTCATTTGAAGAGTTTCACTTGACTAGAGTAAATATTCTCTACTTTAATAAATTCAGTTAATCAGGTTACATTTACAGGTTGGGAAATCTACAAGCTTGCACTGCTAAATCAATCTATCCTAAGTTAACCAAAATAAGTACAATGGAAAACTATGAGATCAACTACTAAAGAAAGCATATAACTACATAATTGATCTCTATTTACCATGTAAATGGCATGGCAGCTTGTCCACCATCAGTCATCGGAAATCTCCCTTGAAGAAACTGTAACTGGGCATAGTACTTTTTCAGGGTGCTGCATCCCATAAAATCATGTGAAACATGAACAGCACTCTGAAAAGGTGAAAAAAACTATCCAGAGTCAATAAGTTTAATTCTAAACTGAAAAAAACCAAGAAACCAAATATTTAGTTTATTCAAAACATACAAGGGGTATAAAGAGTGATTCCCCCATCCCTAATTTCTTTGCAGGAAAATATAGTTAATAAAGAGTTATCTAATGCAAAACAACCCCTAATCCTATCATGCCACAAGTGGCTATATGTACAAACACTTTCTTTACTTTCACATCACAGTGTAACAATCAATTGCACATGCAGAGATAATTCTCAAACACCTACAGGATTGTGTACCATTTTTTATTTCTATACACCTCCCAAAAAAATTCAGTCTGACATTGCTGATCTTTGCCTGTCTCAGCTACTCAAGTTCACTACAAGCTGGTATCTTACCTGTCTCAGCTGCTCAAGTTCACTACAAGCTGTTATCTTACCTGTCTCAGCTTCTCAAGTTCACTACAAGCTGTTATCTTTACCTATCTCAGCTTCTCAAGCTCACTACAAACTGTTACCTTTACCTGTCTCAGCTTCTCAAGTTCACTACAAGCTATTATCTTTACCTGTCTTAGCTTGTCAAGTTCACTTCAAGCTGTAATTTCTACCTGTCTTAGCTTCTCAAGTTCACTTCAAGGTGTAATTTCTACCTGTCTAAGCTTCTCAAATTTACAACAAGCTGTCTGTTATCTGTCTTAACTACTCAAGTTCACTACAAATTGTTATCTTTACCTATCTCTGATTCTCAGCTTCTTAAGTTCACTATAAATTGTTATCTTTACCTGTATCAACTGCTCAAGTTCACTACAAGCTGCTATCTTACCTGTCTCAGCTGCTCAAGTTCACTACAAGCTGCTATCTTACCTGTCTCAGCTGCTCAAGTTCACAACAAGCTGTTATCTTACCTGTCTCAGCTTCTCAGGTTCACTACAAGCTGTTATCTTACCTGTCTCAGCTGCTCAAGTTCACTACAAGCTGCTATCTTACCTGTCTCAGCTGCTCAAGTTCACTACAAGCTGCTATCTTACCTGTCTCAGCTGCTCAAGTTCACAACAAGCTGTTATCTTACCTACCTCAGCTGCTCAGGTTCACTACAAGCTGTTATCTTACCTCAAGTTCACTACAAGCTGTTATCTTACCTGTCTCAGCTGCTCAAGTTCACTACAAGCCTTGTTGTAATCTGCAGGATCCTCACCATAGTTGTCTCTTATATACTGAAAAGAAAATAACAGATTTTAGTTTATATGCAAGTTCTGCTAGCTTTTTAATTAAGATAGAAATTTATTTGCTTTTCCAAAGAGATTTGTTGTGTTTGTATATTCACACACAATGTATTTATGATTGAATTGAATTATTTACATTTTTGAAGCATGGGGTGTCCCTCAATCTAGTTCATGTATTACACTATTCAGTAAAGGATAACCTGGTGTGACTATAAACTTTGTATGTAGTTTAAGCAGTGATATATGATGACAACTCCAAAGTAGATAAAAACAGTGCCTTTCAATTAAATACTCCCCTATAATTCAAACTATCTAGCATTACATGAAAACAAAACATACATAAGCAGCCCCATGGCTGTAAGTCACATTTCCACCCAATGGCCGTTTAATCACTGTCATGAAAAAACTTGAGATTCTAATATTTTTTTCACCTCTGTGAGGAGTTGTTATGGATATTTTTAAGATCAAAAATGATACACGTAGAAATTAGCATGTATGAATTAGCCCCTTCACGATAACTGCGGTACGTACTACACTTTTGCAGGGCAAAATAATAATGTTTGGCGAAGTTTTTGTTGACAGATAATTAAATGACGTATCTCAAACAATTACTTTTACGTCATATTTCACCAAACTATATCATTTTGCCCTGCAAAAGAGCAGTACCCCAGTTACCGTGAAACGGTCTATTTATCTGTTCATTTCAGATACCCTAAGCATTCTTTTAAAAGCAAGGGAAAGCATTAAATACAAGAAATAATACCAAAAGTGAGCGACAAAAATGCAGCAGCATTAATTGAAGGTTTTTAAATGCTTGGATCTGAAGCTCTCTGCTTCATTATTCCTACAAGAGCCTCGGTCAACATTCCTATGCTCCTTACAAAAGTTACATACATCAGATTCTTACATCTGAAGGCCATTTTCTAAGCAGCTTGTTCCGTCTGAGAATTTGGGCAGAACATATTATTCACAGTATTAACTACAATGCTTCAGCTTGCATATTTATCACGAAATATACTGGGAGGAAGCATCATAATTAACGTCCTCAAGAATTCTCGAAATTAAATTCATTTCTTAATTATATGTTATACCCCAAACTGGTTATATCCAGTTGGGTGGTGGTCCCAACAAAGGGAAAGAAAAATGACTACACTAGAAAAAAAAAAAACTTCTTGCTTTTAAATCATGTGCCATCTAAAAAGATATCACCTCTTTGACGATACCAAAGTGATTTTTAAACAGAATAAAAAAAGGAAAGCATAAAAAATAAAAGGATACTGCATATGATCATCATGATCAACACACCATTTTGGTTTTTTATGTGTGTGATAGAAAAGTACACAAAGAAATAAATTACTTGCTCTGATATCCTAATATATTTGATTTTCTTTGTTATTAAACGGGTTTGTTACAATTTCTATTTATTTGTAAGACATGAGAAACTGGATCCTGATGTGTTACCGATTCATTATCATGATTCATATATTCATGACAAAATGACGTCAAAATTAGAAATAAATATATACGCAATTTATGGGAAAACAGCTAAATTTCTGACAATTATCTCTATAATATATAATATCAATAAAAACCTGTTTTAGCACTGGTCCAAAATCTACATATTCAGGGCTCGTTTTCAGCTCGAAAGCTATCATCGGCAGTCGAGGTACTGCCTCCATCTTTGTTTTTTTCGGAAGGCTCAACTAATAGATGAAACCGAGTCATTGACTGGAGATATAAAAGTTCCGAATTGATGTTTCTTTGTCGACTTTTAACTTTACTGAAATTATTAAAACCAAGAACTTTTAATGGAGAATACTATATCCACTTTTAATAACAAAAAAAAAACTGGATAAATAAAAATAAATTTAAAAACTTTTTTTTAAAAACAGCTACTCTATGACTTACTTTCTGATACATGTCACAGCGGATCCAGGAATTTCAGGGGTGGTCCAACCCAGTCGAATAAAAAAGTATCCAAATGAGAAATTTATTAATATAAAAAAAAAAAAAAAAACGGAAACTCGCCCAGTCGTGAAAAACCTAGGTCTTGGGGGGGGGTCGTTGACGTTACGTTCATTTTAAATCTTTAGAAATGGATTGCTTATGAGCAACACTTGTTTACATATGTATGTCATATTATTGAAGGAATCACTGCCTAGTGTATTGGGTATGCCAGGGCATCAACGATGGATGGAAACGTGAATTAATTTGAAAAAGTTAAAAAGAGAAATTACTGAGCTTTAAAATATGCTTTGTGTTTGTCTTAAAATTATCCTTTTTAAGTCTAATTCTAATAAAATTACCAATGGTTTGTTTTCAATTTCTTAAGGTGAGATGCCAGCATGAAAAGAAACTGGTAGATGCCATACATCAGCTTTGTGATGGTTCTCCTACCCCATATACAAATAGCATTTTGTTCAAGCCTTGACAGACCCCTGTTTCCACCAAATACTCATCCTACATTGATTGATTGATTTTTGCATGACGGGCAAAGCACGTTATGCATAAATTATCCCATGTTTCCGACTCTGAGTTCAACTTCCCAAAGGTGGACTCTAAAAATTGGTTCGACTCTACATTAACACTGTACTTTGGTCATGTATCAAATTATACACATAAGAGAAATATAGAAACTAAATAATTGAATATTTTATCTTTTAATTTATACCGAACTAAATATCAAAACATCAACTAAAATGTTGGCAACACTATTTCAATCTGAGAACACATATTAAATGTAGATTAGGCAAAATTGGATGTTCATCTACATTTTCATCCAACAAAAGCATATGTCAACGCTTTTTTGAAACAAGATGGTAAAATTTAAATGTATAACAAAATCAAAGAGTAAAAATAAATTGGAAATGGATGCATGTTTAAAAAATTAACGCAAAATAAACAATATATATATACAAACAGAAACCGTCTCTGCAATCAAAGCCTCTATACTATTGAGCATTAAACTTCAATCATCTACTGTACATCCAAAAGACAAAGCAACCAAAACGAAAATGGTCGGGACAAAAGTGTGATATGTTCATCTTAAAACTGAGATTTTTGGTTAATAATAAACCAGAAGTCTCTGTCGAGACTGAAGCTCTACTGGTTTGTACTTGTAGCAAATGAAGAAAAAGTACTTATAAGCAGATGGGAATTGAAACTTTAAAACAGCAATAAATTACATTACATTATATCATAATCAGACTAAAACTGTATTTGGAGTAGCATTTTAAGAGTATTTAACTGAAATTTCTATTTTTAGTAACCACGGCAACACCGTTCATTGAAGTCAAAAACCGATATGTATACAGAATTATGTATCTTAGTGTAGTCTACTTGTGTGCCAAGTTATATTGAAATCAGACCAAAACTGTAGGAGGAGTAGCATTTTGAAAGAATTTCACAAAAATTTCTATTTTTAGTAACCACGGCAACACCGCTCATCGAAATCAAAAAGCGATAAAACAAATTATGTATCTTAGTGTAGTCTACTTGTGTGTTAAGTTATATTGAAATCAAACCAAAACTGTAGGAGGAGTAACATTTTGAAAGAATTTCACAGAAATTTCTAATTTTAGTAACCGCGGCAACACCGTTCATCGAAATCAAAAACCGATACACAGATGACAGACAGACGGACGGACGACGGACGCATTACTATCGCAAAAGCTCTTCTAGTCTCTGACCAGTAGAGCTAAAAGCATGAAACTGTCTGTTCAGCATTTGAAGAAACATCATTTGGATACATGTGCAGTGTATATTTTCAAAGTTTATGTTGACAATTAGATCTAATAGTTTAATACTATTATCGGGTCTTTGATCTCACCAAGATTCTAGGCTATCACCTAACAAGTAAAGTAGATATTAAAGGAAAATATATGTACCCGATCCCACGTGTTGGGATACTAGTAGTCCAACGGGGCGAAACTAGACACAAATAAAAGCGTTAGGCCTATCTGTTTTATCATTGTGACCACAAAACCCCAAACATTGTGAACAATTTTAGTTGCTTCTATCACTTGTAATTTATAGTACTTACAATAAAAATATTATTTAAAGTATATTTTTATCAACAACGAAGTTATTGGCAATACCAGATACGTCACATTCACAAATGCTGGTTATAAAAATCCCTGATTGGTTGATAATTCTTTTGACTATCCAGATTACATTACAAGTGCCTACACCTGTAATATTTTTGTTTGCCGGTGTCATATAATATATTGAACCCCGCGATATTTTGAACCCGGGTTCAAAATATCGCTGCGAAATATTGAACCCCCCTATAAAATATTGAACCCGGGGTTCAAAATATTATGGCCATAAAATATTGAGTCCCCCTAGCTGTCCTTTTAATTTAAGAGGTAGGGGGTTCAAAATATTATGGCCATAAAATATTGAGTCCCCTGCCCTTTTAATTTTACAGGGAGGGGGTTCAAAATATTATGGCGGCCATAAAATATTGAGTGAGGAGAAACCCCCTGCCCATTTAATTTAAGAGGGAGGGGGTTCAAAATATTATGGCCATAAAATATTGAGTCCCCCTGTTCTTTTAATTGACAGACAGACGGACGGACGACGGACGCACGTGTTGGGATATTCCAACGGGGCGAAACGACACAAATAAAAGCGTTAGGCAAGAGGTAGGGGGTTCAAAATATTATGGCCATAAAATATCGATTTGGATACATCCCCCTGCCCTTTTAATTTTACAGGGAGGGGGTTCAAAATATTATGGCGGAGTCCCCCTGTTCTTTTAATTCAAGAGGTAGGGGGTTCAAAATATTATGGCCATAAAATATCGAGTCCCCCTGCCCATTTAATTTTACAGGGAGGGGGTTCAAAATATTATGGCCATAAAATATTGAGTCCCCCTGCCCATTTAATTTCACAGGGAGGGGGTTCAAAATATTATGGCCATAAAATATCGAGTCCCCCTCCCCACTTAATTTTACAGGGAGGGGGGTTCAAAATATTATGGCCATAAAATATCGCGTCCCCCTGCCCTTTTAATTGATGAGGGAGGGGGTTCAAAATATTATGGCCATAATATTTTGAACCCCCCTCCATCTAAACTTAAAACAGACAGGGGGACTCAATATTTTATGGCCATAATATTTTGAACCCCCCTCCCTCTAAATTTAAATTGGTAGGGGACTCAATATTTTATGGCCATAATATTTTGAACCCCCTCCCTCTTAAATCAAAAGGGCAGGGGGGTTCAATATTTTATGGCCATAATATTTTGAACCCCCCTCCATCTAAAATTAAAACAGACATGGGGACTCAATATTTCATGGCCATAATATTTTGAACCCCCCTCCCTGTAAATTTAAATTGGTAGGGGACTCGATATTTTATGGCCATAATATTTTGAACCCCTCCCTCTTAAATCAAAAGGGAAGGGGGACTCAATATTTTATGGCCATAATATTTTGAACCCCCTCCCTGTAAAATTAAAAGGGCAGGGGAATCAATATTTTATGGCTATAATATTTTGAACCCCCTACCTCTTAAATTAAATGGACAGGGGGACTCAATATTTAATGGCCATAATATTTTGAACCCCCCTCCCTGTAAAATTAAATGTGCAGGTGGACTCAGTATATTATGGCCATAATATTTTGAACCCCCTACCTCTTAAATGAAAAAGGTAGGGGTTCAATATTTTATAAGGGGGTTCAATATATCGCAGCGAAAAAGTGAACCCGGGTTCAAAATATTATGCGATATTTCGAACCCGGGTTCAATATATCGCGGTATCAAAATATTATGCTACACCGGGTCATTAATGTTTGTTTAATTTTTTCTTAATGTGTCGGAGAACTAAGATCTGTGGTCTCTCCTGCCATTTCTTTAACATGGACACGTCACAAGAGAGAGTGTCTTCCTTTAATCTGTCCAGCAGTGTTACACACGCCACAGCTCCTGAAAAACAACTGAGAAATGTAAACCTTCTATATTAGATCCCAAGAAATATTTGAGTGCCCAAACATTATTCATGAAGTATATTACTTAATATAGTAAATATGTAGAAGTACAGTAACAGTATAGGAATACATGTGTAGTATAGTTTAGTTTTATAATAAACCTTTGACTCCAGCAAAGTGACACATGGCAAGAAAGCCTAGGGATTCCATCTCTATATTACGAATTCCCTTCTCTTTCAGATCTTGTAGAAACTTCATCTTGTCTTCTTCCTCGTACTCACAGAAGGCGCCATCTAATCTCGCCTGGCCTTCAGAAATGTAAATTGCAAAGAGTTTAAAAAAGGGAGATATATTGACATCACGAATCAAAATCTGGCTTTCTGAGATTTACCAGTCCGAAATATCTGGCTTTTACTTTAACGGTTATGAGCTGCATTTAAAAAAAAAAATGTTTTAATTATGATTTTGTATGTAATTTAAATCCTTATGATAAATATCCTTATGATAAATAAGACTAAAATAAAGCGTAAAAATGTTTCAGAGAAATTAAATTCTGTACAATTAAATGTATAGTATTATATAAGAAATCAATATTGTACACGACGACAATAATATAATTTAGCTTCAATCAAAGCTTATAATAAGTTCTTCAATTGCAAATAAATTATGAACAACAGAATGTGATAAATGTTCTATTTTCCTTTCATTAAAATACTTAATTACAAATTTGCACCAAATTTTGCAATGTCAAACATGCAGCTCATAGTGCTTTAATAAATGTGCCAGGAAAACGCCAGAACCGGCGGCATTACGAAAACTGGAAATTTCACCGTCTCCAACAGGAGTTGATTTTCGATACTTGCGAACCGAACTAAATGCCGAAATCAGAATTTATCAGTGGCACAATCCTTCTAGTATTCACCAATATCGACGAAAAGAAAAGTTCACTCCATTTTACGATATAGAACTTGTATTTAAAGATTTTCAAAATACACGAAAAGAAAACAAATCTCGACAGTCTGATAAATGTTTTAAGTGGACTGTATATTTCATGACTGAACCATAAAAAGTATGCACTGTTGGTAAGTACTTAAGGTATTGTACTATTGACAACTTGTGAGTTTGACATTAAATTCGGTTCACAAGTATCTAATTTTACATTACTCATATAACTTTTGTAGGGCATTCATGTCCTATGAACCTGGCACGTTTTCCTGGTAGGTAAACTATCAAAATCGTAAAAGAGCCTGGAAAACCTAAGATTTTTCGGACTAATATTTACATGTAACTTAAAAAGTCGTCCGCTGGCATAGCCCCTGAAGGCAAACTCCACATCAAATTACATTTTAAAGTCATTAATTAAGGGATATCAACCTTCATAAAAGTCATCAGCACAAAGAGTAGTTCCCTTAACAGTTTGGAATTCATCGTCTGGTTCTTGGCACCTTAACAGTGATTCCACTAACGACTGGTCAACTTTGGCCAAACGCTTCACAGGTTTACCCAACACAGTCTGTTAAAGTGTGAGACAAAAAAAAAAATATCGAATACAGGCATCTTCTTAAAAATTTTAATGAATTTCAAGAATTACTTTTATATTTTCTAAAAACTCGTCCTGTTTATTTAGAACATGAAACTACCAGTTTGTAATATGGATTCATTTCGCCATCCACGGCTTTATCTGTAACAACCACCGACCCTGGCTCCAAACCTACAACGATTGAGTGACAGCCACTGTTTGACCAGTTGATGCAAAATTATTTAACCATATAAAAACCATACATATAAGACGTTTAAGTAGAGTGTACATACCTACTCCTCCACATGTACCAATCCTGAAGAACTCCACATCCTTACATTTGGCGTAATAAATAAGCTTGATGATCTCATTGAAGACAACCGACAACGACGGAATTCCGATCCCATGCTAAAATTAATTTAATATTATTTAATTCAATCACTGGATGAAAAATATTCAAAACTGAAAATAAAAATATTTTTTGAAATATTGATGATCCTTACCTACTAAAATAAAATTAAGAATGTCTGTAACGTGAAGACCTAGAATCGCTCTTCCAATACATTTTGCATCTCCGCCACTGTGATAAAATTTTAATCGACTTATTCCAAGAACCCAATTGTTTTACAATTATTCTAAATCAGCCGTCAAGGTTTGATGGTCATAAGCCTCTTATTATCAAGGCTTATAAGATTTGACAACGAATAACGATGGAATTCAAAAAGTAGGTCACTGTGACTCACTTCATGTATCACGGGACACAGCAATTACAGTTTGGTTACTCTTGATTTAATTCATAGTGTTCGAATTTTTCTTAAATAATGAAATTGTATAAAGCTCTAAAAATAGTGGTTTGTAGCCACTTAATTACTATCCTAATTACTTCAATATACCAGTGTGTACTCAATAAATTTCAAAAGTAGGACGCTGTGACCTAATTGTTTTATTCCGTTAGTACATGTGTAGTTCGAAAGTTTTAAAGATCTGACACTTAAAAAAAACAAATTTACCTGGTCTCAGAACATTCAGTTGATATAATGCAAGTCTACAAACTGATAACGTGACTTGATAAAGTTTAATTCAATAATTGACGGACTACAAAACCCGAATGTATGCATGGCCACAACCTTACAACGTATTTACGATTACAACCGTACAACTTTAAATTCAAAGCAAGCGATTTTTCCTTTGACAATGATAAGAAAAGTCGTGTTTAAAAAGAAATACAAAAGTAGTTCAGTTTGCAATATATACTGTGGTAAGAATACAAAATACCATCTGTCTTATAAAAGCTTATATCAGAATTAAAAATTCATTTGAGATGCCTAAGTTGTACTCACGCTGACAGATAATACTGGGCCTACTTTATGGATGGAATACCGGTCTGTCCCGGAGGCATAGTTTTTCGGTCTATCTCCGTCCTTTTCGTGATCATTTATTTTCAGTTCTTCTGCAACAAATGCCGAAAACTTTTCCATTCTTGAAGGCTGTCCTCCAAAGCATACAAATCGAACATCGCCAAACATTTTTTCGAGGTCATCTTTCTGTGTGTCCAAAGCAAGATGATATAAATGGTCCTCATTCAGTCTGTGCAGTTTTTTGTAATTTTGAGGAATGACTAGGCTGAAATTTATTATGAAAGCAAATCAATAAATTAATTTTAAAAAGTTGTCTAAGAAAAAGTATTATTACATACGAAATATGGTGGGTATTTGTGATTTTGTTTGTTAGCTATATATATATATTATATAACTATTGCTGTTCTTGAGGTCAATACAATGATTTAGCCACCTAAGGTGTACAATATTAACCGAGCCCGAAGGGCGAGGTGAATATTGTACGTCGAATGTGGCTAAATCATTGTATTGATTGGGGGAAAACAGCAACAATTGTTTTATTGTCAGACAGACAGACGGACACGACAAAAACTATATACCCCCCGAATCTTCGATTACGGGGGCATAAAAAATAAAACAAAAAACAAAGATAATTTCATTTTGGAAAATCAATCAATCAAATTTTTCGTAACGGTCATGCAGGCTCTTTTGCCCGATTGAACAAGCTGCTTCGCGGCATAATACACATGTTTTGTACAAATATTGTCTCTAGCCTCTGACCAGCAAATCGACAAACTATTTATATCTGGATTGTGGTTGTTGTTAACCATGTAAACACAGCATGACATGTTGACCTGTTGACTTTTGTCAGAGAGTTACTCAGAGATTTTGTCGGACAGCAGAAATGTATGTTGATTTAAAGAGCCTTTCATTCAATAAGGGGTAACAGGAAAATACTATGTTATCTTCATCCGATTAATTCGTTCGTTACCAAGCAACCATTATATTTCCTCTCAAGAGGTAAGCACGTCCACGTGTTCGTTTTTAGAGGTGTTGTCTCTAATAAGCGATTTGATTGGACAGACCAAAGAAAACAAAAATAACACGTGCTTGTAATTTGATATGAACATGATGAAGGGGGAAATTGGGAATCGAACAAAATTTAAGAAAACATGAACACAAAAGAAGATAGTGTCGCTAAATATGTTCAAGATACACATGTACAACCATGTTTTAATAGTTAATTATTTGAATGAAGATTTTTGGTTTATTGCTTTTCCATGAATTTGAATCTGTGTCTTTAGCTGATGCAGTTGTAAGCATGATGTTTAATCGATGTATGTGAAGCTGGAACATTCAAACTGCTCGAGTTATCAGCATAATGATTAGTCTACTTACCCATTGCCATTTTCCGTAATATTCACTGTAGATTCCATTTTCCTGACCGGAACTGAGTATCGATCGATCTATGTGGATACAGCCGAACCCTCAATGCATTGGCAAAGCTCAGACAAACGCGGAGGTACGGAAAGGAGGTTGTATCAAAAGGTGATTAGAAGGAAGTGGAAACAGAGAGGGGCCGGACTGGTTAAACGAATGCACATTCGTCCAAATGGATTAGTCAATTCTATCTTTTTTATTGAAGGGATTTCCCCAATGTTCGAATAACCTTTCCGGTATTTGAGTTAACAATGTAGATGTATATACATTTAATACAAAATGATTTTATTTTATTTGAACATATTTCATTGTATAATTTAAGTACAAAGGGATGTTAAAAATGATATTAAATGATATCAAGATGTATCTTGAACAGTGACTACATGACCACTTAGCTTATGACCTTGGCTAAAGATTATCAAACACGGAAAGTACTAGTCCGATATTACGAAAGCCTATTAGGATCAATCTAGAGAGAAAAAAAATTTAAAAGGCGTTATAATGCCAAAAAAAGGCATTATAACGCCCTTTCAAAAGGCGTTATTACGCCTTTCCATTCCAAAAGGCGTTATAACGCCTTTTTAAAAGGCGTTATAACGCCTTTCTAAAAGGCGTTATTACGCCTTTCCATTCTAGAAGGCGTTATTACGCCTTTCCAAAAGGCGTTATTACGCCTTTCCAAAAGGCGTTATTATGTCTTTTTAAAAGGCGTTATTACGCCTTTTTAAAAGGCATTATTACGCCTTTCCAAAAGGCGTTATTACGCCTTTCCAAAAGGCGTTATAACACCTTTCCAAAAGGCGTTATTACGCCTTTCCAAAAGGCGTTATTACGCCTTTCTAAAAGGAGTTATTACGCCTTTTTAAAAGGCATTATTACGCCTTTCCAAAAGGCGTTATTACGTCTTTCCAAAAGGCGTTATAACACCTGTCCAAAAGGCGTTATTACGCCTTTCCAAAAGGCGTCATAACACCTTTCCAAAAGGCGTTATTACGCCTTTCTAAATGGCGTTATTACGCCTTTGTAAAAGGCATTATTACGCCTTTCCAAAAGGCGTTATTACCCCTTTTACTTTCAATTCATAACTAAACATATTTAGCCCAACCGAGGGCGGGGGGGGGGGGTGGTACAGAAATCGTACCTTTGGGACATGAATTTCACAATTAGATATAGGACTAATTTCTCAAAAAATAATTTAAACAGATAGCAATTAGATTTCCAGGAAAAAAGATTTTTAAATGCGTCATATATTTTCAATGTTGAACCAACTAAGTCCTTCTTTCGTACCAGACACACCTCTACCAAGGGTCATTTATTTCAGTTGCTCATTATACTCATGCAAATGGTTGCCTGCTTTTTTCCAAGAAGAGCGAAAAATATCTTCAAATGACATAAATTTTAATATATGGCAAGCAAAGCTCCAAGATAAATCTGCCTATATTCTAGATCTTCACAAGTAGGGTGTTGCCTTCTCTTAAATGCAAACAGTTGTCAGTGAGATGTGCAGGAATATAGAAATTGCATAAATAAAGATGGTTTTAATTAAATCTTTATATATTTATTAACATAAGATAACGCCTTTTCCTTTTCATGTAGGCCAGTAATACGAGTGCGAATCGGGTAACCCCTCCCCCTCCAAACATAACACTTTTGAGGAAAAGTCTTGCTACAGTTTAAATATAATTAACTACTGGTTTCTTGGTTCCTGAACATTTTGTTGCAGTATGTAAAACTGTGGCAAATTATTGCATTTAAATAAAGTTTTGCCGAGTATTTCCCCCACGAATTTGGTCAGTGGAGAGTTTGTGTGTGTGTGTGTGTGGGGGGGGGGGGGGGGGGGCTATTAAAAGCACGGCCCTGTTAAATGCAAAATAATGGTTATTCAAAAAGCATAATATAATAACTTTTTTGGAAAGTCATAATAACGCCTTTTAGAAAGGCGTAATCACGCCTTTTAGAAAGGCGTAATAACGCCTTTTGGAAATGCGTAATAACGCCTTTTGAAAAGGCGTAATAACGCTTTTTAGAAAGGCGTAATAACGCCTTTTAGAAAGGCGTAATAACGCCTTTTGGAAAGGCGTAATAACGCCTTCTAGAATGGAAAGGCGTAATAACGCCTTTTAGAAAGGCGTTATAACGCCTTGTAAAAAGGTATTATAACGCCTTTTGGAATGGAAAGGCGTAATAACGCCTTTTTTCGCGTTATTACGCCTTTTCAAAAGGCGTTATAACGCCTTCTAAATTTTTTTTCTATCTAGATTGATCCTAATAGGCTTTCGTACGAAATATCTCACGTTTTCTAGGCTTTTTCGAATTCACGATTTTAATATTTTACGTGCCAGGAAAACTTGGCACGTAAAATAAAATCAAAATCGTGAAAAAGGCTGGAAAACGTCCGATAATTCGGATTAGAAAAGTATGTCCTGAGCAGCAGCATACCAAAGTCTGAATAAATCTAAACAAGCAAATTCAAAGAATTGTGGTCCCCCGCTTTCGATGTCTTTGTGGGTGAGAAGTCTTTTTTATGGCATATTGTGTCAAATATGAGCTCCCTATCATATGCTTTTTAGAAGTTATCTTTTTAATTAGGTCAATCGTGAAGTTCAAGGGGTCAGAAAATCATAGCACGCTTGGAAATACATGTATCTGTCACAGGTAATGCACTTGTCAAATATGAAAGGCCCATGTTTTCTCATTCAAAAGTTATAAGGAAAATTTAACATTTTTGAAAAGTAGGACAAACATCGAGGCCAACGTTCGGGGTAAAAAATCATAGTGTATTAAGAAAGCTTTCATCACAGTCAATACACAGATTAAATATAAAAGCCCTATCTCTTCTCATTCAAAAAGGTCAAGGTCACGAGGTCAAAAACCATAGTGTATATGGAAAGGTCTTGTCACAGATAATACACTTATATAATGTGAAGCCCTATTTTTTCTCAACAGTTATGGCCAATTTTAAGAAATGTTTAATTTTTTAAAAAGTAAGTCAAACTTCAAGGTCACGGGGTCAAAATTCATAGTGAATTTGTTAAGGTCTTATGACAGGCTTTATACAGCTTTAATATGGAAACCCTATCTCTTCTCATTCAAACGTTATGACAAGGTTAAAGTTTTTGAAAAGTAGAGCAAGGGCAAGGTTATGATGTCAAAAATCATATAGAAAGGTCTTGTCATAGGTAATTTACATGTGTAATATGAAAGCCAGTCTCATCCAAAAATTATGGCCAATTCAAAGTAATGTTTTTTAAAAAGTAGGTCAAGGTCACGGGGTCAAAAATCATAGTGAATTTATTAAGGTCTTATCACAGGCTTTACACAGCTTTAATATGGAAACCCTATCTCTTCTCATTCAAACGTTATGACCAAGGTTAAAGTTTTTGAAAAGTAGATCAAATTTCAAGGGCAAGGTTACGATGTCAAAAATCATATAGAAAGGTCTTGTCATAGGTAATTTACATGTGTAATATGAAAGCCAGTCTCATCCAAAAATTATGGCCAATTCAAAGTAATGTTTTTAAAAAAGTAGGTCAAACTTCACGGTCAAGGTCATGGGATAAAAAAACATAGTGTATTTAGAAAGGCCTTGTCACAGGTAATATATAATATGAAAATCATATCTCTTCTCATTCAAAAGATATGACCAAGGTTAAAGTTTTTGTGACAGACGGACAGACAGACAGCCGAATGAGATTCAATGTCCCCTCGCTTTTGCCAAAGCGGGGGACAGCAATTTACGTGATCAGTCTTCCTTTATACATAGTTGGACAACAGAATAAAAGGACAAAATTCATATTAAAACTGCTTTTTACATGTAACAGCTGGTATTTTCTCCACCTATTTTTGTTTTCTTTTTATGCCCCCCGTAATTGAAGATACGGGGGTATATATTTTTTATCCTGTCTGTCTGTCTGTCTGTCTCTTTCTCCGCAAAAACTTTAACCTCACTGACTGGATGGGACTATGGCTTTCATATTTAAAAGGTGTTTTCCTTGCGACAATACCATTCTTCGGGTTCCACTAAATTTGACCTCTTGACCTTGACCTTAGAGTTTGGCCCACTTTTACAAAAAAGCAAGATGTGTTTGTGAAACACTAATTCCCCCATTTGGCAGCTTATGGCGAGGACTGAATTCTCTCAAATGCATGTCAAACTCCAAAGGTTAGATCAAAATTGTTGGTACCCAAAGGAAGGTCTTGTTACAAAGAATACACCTATGAAATACACAAGCCTAGCTCTGACTGTACAAAACTTATGACCAAGGTTTTAAAGTTTTTATAAAGCAGGTCAAACTCTAATGTCAAGGTCAAAAGATAAAAAATATTTCTACCAGTAGGTCTTGTTACAATGAATACACTTGTAAAGTTTGAAAGCCCTAGCTCCAACATTTCAAAAATTATGGCCATTGAATACACTTATAAAGTTTGAAAGCCTTAGCTCCAACATTTCAAAAGTTATGGCCATTGAAGGTTAAAGACTAAAGTGTGATATATTTTTGTAAAAGTAGGTCAAACTTCAAGGTCACGGTCAAGAGGTCATATTTGATGGTACCCCCCCCCCCCCAGTTCTTGTCATAAGGAATATATCTGTGAAATATGAAAGCCATAGCCTCATCCACTCAAAAGTTATGGGCAAGGTTAAAGTTTTTGCGGACAGACGCACGGACGAACGGACAGGGCAAAAACTATATACCCCCGAAACTTAGTTTACGGGGGCATAAAACCCCAAACTTTAACCTTAGCCATCAATTTCGAACGGTTGGTGCTAAGACTTTCATACTTCACAGGTGTATTCATTGTGACAAGACCTTTCAATTGGTATAAATATTTTTACCTTTAACCTAAACCATAGAGTTTGATCCACTTTTAATAAAAAAGGTAATCTTCGTCATAACTTTAGAACAGTTAGCACTGCATGGAGCTTTCATATTTCACAGGTGTATTCCTTGGGAAAAGACCTTCCTCTTCATATCAACAATTTTGACCCTTTGACCCTGACCTTGAAGTTTGAATTGCATTTGAGAAACTTCAATCTTTGCCATAAGCTGCCATAGGGCGGCATCAGTGTTTAAATAACGAACACACGTCTGTTTACCATAAACACTTCAGTCTTAGGAGATTGGCACTGGTAGCA